AATGTTTGTCAGGGTGAGACTTCTAATGGTTTTAAATTCTGTAGTTTTAAAGGGGAATACACTTGATAAATTCTGCGTCTCCAGAAATCAATTTCCGGATACCTTGCCGCTTGCATCAGTCCTTCCCCCGCTTTCCGATTGGTTCAAAACCCTGTCAATCAATCCATTCTATACTCCTATTGGCCGTGACAAGGATCACTCAAGCCTTTACGACCCGCCTCCCTCAACAGCCCCCCTGTCAATCAGTCCAGATCACACCGCCTATTGGCTGGAGACAGTGTCATTCAGGTGAGCCCCATCGCTGACTGGATACTCGCCTCTCTCGGCCCGCCCTTTGCCCAACCCCTCCCCGGCGCTGGTGTCAAAATATTGCAGCCCGTTCCGTCTCTCTGTGGACGTACCTTCACCGGCTTGGGTAAAATAGCTCCCGAGGACGTGGTCACGGCGGTACGGGCGAGAGCCACGGGGGTCGCGCTGCTTGTTTTCTGCCTGAAAACCCCCGTAGTCTTCGGGACGCCAACCCGAGCGGAGCCCAGGACGAAGCGAGCCGCTGCCGACGCCATCTTGCCTGTCAGTGGGCGTGACGTCACCCCCCGGCGCTCAGCCCGCGCCTTAACGAGACCCGGCCCTTAACGGGCGAGCGGGGGGAGAAACTGCGTCCCTTGGGGCGGCCATCTTGGCTCCACCCCGCCGCTAAATTACTGCGCAGGAGCGCCGGGTCTGGAGCCACAATGGTGGCCGTTTCCACTGTGACGTTGTAACCTAGAAAGGCGGAGCGTAACTCCCTGGTAACGCAGCCCATACAGGAAAAAGTAAACATTCTCCCAGGGCTGCACCCATGGGTTAATGAGAGTCTTGCAACATAGACCTCGCAGCCAGGCCTGAAGGCTTTGTAAATATGTCCGTAAGATGTCGGGGAGTCAACTCTGGTGTCAGACTACGATCAGTGAGGGTGGGGGGTGTTAATTAATTAACCCCTGATCTGTGGGCAGTGGGGCTGCTGGTGCAGAGTTATCTAATTGGGGGGTGCAGGTAATTCTGGGGGCTCTGTGTTGGCGGAGTGAAGCGGTACTGTCCAGCTCTGTCCACCAGGGGGCGACAGAGCAACACTCCCCCCGATCCGTCCTCGCAGTTCCTGGACCCTCGGAGCATTTCCAAACTATCATCATCATCCTCATCTGGATTCAACACCTCCAGAGTTTTTACAATGACATTTCAGAAAACAGTAATAACGCTGAACTGTCTCCAGACTATTTGTAAATGTAAGAACCTTACCTTGCAAGGTGAAAGCGTACCTTATCGTAAACTCATGTCATCTTTGTCTGTGTGTGTTTGTGTAAAATGCTGAACTGTATCATGTGCGCCGGCGGTGCGATATGTACCCTTGTTTGTATCGTATACATCTCTGTTGTTGCAGTAAAAACAAAGTGTGAAAAGAGCGACCACACTCAGCCGATCGGGTCTCTTTTCAAAACGACTCCAGCTCGTCGTTCCCGGGGCGGTGATTTAATGGTGTTTTTCTTGCTCTGCGTGTCGAGTTCACCCGCAGCAGCGTCTGGCGAACACGTGATCCCCGTCAGTAACTCCTCACAACTTCACAGTAGATGTCAATGTCTTACGACCTGTCTCTGGTGTAAATGCCTGTAGATGTTATTTTACTTTTATTTTTGTTTTGTCTGTCATGTTAATTGTATTTTTTATTTGCTTTGGCAACACTGATTGTACCCATCGGTCAAGCTAGTAAAGACCCTTGAATTGAACCTCCCCAAAAGTCAAGGTCGGGTTCCAGTGTTTGATTCTGGACGAGTTAGACAGGTCCCGCCCCCCCCCGAGAGTCAGCTGACACGCGTGGGCTCACGTGGCTGCGGGCACGGTCATATGACAGCGAGCAGGCCGGACACGGCACCCGGAACTGCTCGC